ATTATAAACTGGCTTCTGCTTCCTAGTGAGTCCTTGGTTAAGAACACTGATTTCCACCGGGCGCTTGTGTTGGCCCTTCAACGTAGTACTTTTTAAATATGTTTTTTTATACTCTGAGATAATCTGACCAAGCAAATGTAATCACAAAATGTGGCATTCATATGCCATTCATTCATAGTGGCCATATACTACATCTTAGTACTGCATCCCACAACGTGAAGGGGGCGTGGTCACAAGGTTGCCAGAGAAAATACAAGCTGTCTAACTACATCTGATTCTCAGATAAGCAATGAAGTTTTTAATATGTCCCCAAATATCGCATGGGCCGTACTTATATTAAAATTATACACTGTTTATCTAGAATTCAGATGTAACTGGGCATCTTCTATTTCAGTTGGCTAAATCTGGCAACCCCAGAGGGTGGATCCTGGGGAAGGGGATGGTCATTGAATGGAGAAGAGGAGAATTTCAGAGTGGAGGTAAGTCAGTGGCCTGTGAAGACAGGTGTTTGGTGCATGGTGTCTACTCAATAAATATTTGCTGAAGAAGGAAAGGAGAAGGAGGGAGGACAAAACAGAGGAGAGGAAATGTGGTAGACAACATCTAGAACACAACACAGGTATCAGAAATGATACCAGGTACTTTGAGGGATCAGAAGAGGAAATACCAGTATCCACCAGAGAAGACATTTGAGTGGTACCTCAGAAGTTCCTCCAGATAAAGATGGATGATGAAGGCATAACAGCCAAAAGGAACAGCATAAGATGAAGGAAGGTAGGAAAGTGGTAGGGTGTGGAGTTGGGAGGTATGTGGGAGCAGATCCTAAGGTGTGTAAAGAAAGTGAGGCAAGAAAGCAGTAATGTAGGAGAATGTTAGAGCATAACATGCGTGCATTTGGGGCTCATCCAGTGGCTGGGTGCGGGGGGGGCACATAGGATTATTCTTTCTTATGATCAGAGATGTGGAATTTTAAGTTTTGTATTCTTTTGCTACAAGACAGATGTCAGGCTATCTATATGGAAAAAGTTATTCTTATGAAAACAACACTCGAAGAGGACCTTTTGTAAGAATACAAATGGAGTAGTTATTTGACTGAAGGAATAATTGTAAACAACAAGAGGAGGAAAAGATACTCTTTCGTGTCTGATCGCAGTGAAGAGTCTCTGTATTTTTAGGATACAGACTTAGTAGACACAGTAACAGGTGGCAATTCCAGTTGAACCTTCATTCACCTAAGAAATACTGGTCTCTAGACTCAGATGGATCCTAGGTCTGCAACGTTACTAAAATGAACTAAATATATGGAAAATTAAGATAGAGGTAAGAGGTTGGAGTCTTAATTCTGGAAGGTGAATTTCTGAAAACCAAATTTAGTGGTATGAGCAAAGATCTAAAGCAAGTCCCAACTGAATGAAAGGAAAATGCATTAAACATAAATGGATATATCATCATTTTGATCTAAACCACAGGGAAATGTTAGAAAGTTAAAGCTTGCAGAGTATAATCAAATAGCAGGGCCTTTAAAAGGGAAGAGAGATTTAAAATAGGAAGATCAGGAGGAGCTTAAAAGCAGGCACCCGATGCCTGGACATCTGCCCAAATTGTCTTTACAGAGCAGTCAGGAAGGCAAATGTTTAAAAATTTAAAGGGTAGATATGGTACTTCTGTTCTTGGTTTTCCATTTTATAGCATTATTTTTATTTATATAATTGATGATCTCAGGTTCTTTTCAATGCATGCCAAATACGTGCCATCCTGCCCATTTCTTTGATACTCCAGATCACATTCTTGCTGGTGGAGTTTCTGCTGTTTATCCTGGAGGACTATAAACACACAAATATCAATAAATAGAAATTTTCGACCCCCCAAAGGACACAGTTGAGAGATGGCCACGAAGACACCATTGAAAGCTCTCAGGTGCAACTGTCCATTTCAAATGGCCCACATTAGTTTTCTGATTAACATGGCCTTGTGACTTTGGATTTCTTGTTATTAAAAATTGTCTTGTTTAGTTAGGTTTGCCTTCTCTTCTCAGCCCATGAGTGGTGACGGAGCTTCTCTGGCCTCTTCGGAGAACCATCTCTAGGAAAAATGTGGGAGCATACATAAGGAAGCATGAGGGCCTGGGATATGCAGGCCTCTGGGGTAGGGGGGGTTAGGTGTTGGCCCTGGAGGGGGTGTTGCTACAGTGGGCAAGTGTGCCCCTCTCCAGAAAATTGCCTTCAGAGAACAGAGAGGCTGTTCTTTGGGAAGAGCAGCTCCATCTTCTCTCTCTGTTTTTCATGGTGGCTGTCAGCTCTTCTCCCTATTTCTATCCTGTTTTGCCTCTAACACTCCCTCCTCTCCTTCACTTAAGTAATCTGTGGCTGTAGTTCAGTGAGACATAGTTCAGTGCGATATAGTTCAGTGCAAACTGTGGAAAATGCTGGTATGTATGTATTTTGTTAAGAGTTTATTTTTAAGTAGTCTTTGCACCCAAGATGGGGCTTGAACTCCTGCCCCAAGATCGAGTCACGTCCTCTTCTGACTGAGACAGCCGGGCACCCTGGAAAGGGCTGGTATTTACTTAGAGCTTCAAAATCCAGGTCCAGGATCTTCTGCCATTTGTTAGAGCGTGACCTTGAGTACATTACTTAACAACGCCGAACCTTGCTTTTCTCGGCCATAAACTGAATATTTATATTTCCTGCATTATCTGCCTCATGGGATTAGTGAAGATTAAATGAGAAAAATGTATATGAAAGCATATCCTAGGGCTCTGATGATGATTCTGATTATTATTATTTGAAAGCTCTGTAGGTGGGCCGGTTCTTTCCACCTAGAAAAATAGAAGATTCTTATTCAAAGTCTTACTGAACGGAAATCAGCACCAACTTGCTTATTTGAATTTTTATAATTAAGTACAAAGTAGATGGAATTTCTGAACAAGCTCCTGGCTGTTGAATAAATTTTATATATCTTAAAAACTGTCACAATATAAGTATTTTTAAAGGGATATATAATGGTTTCTGAAAATACCTGAAATGCCCATGCTTTTATAGATGTTTAAGTATGCAATTTGTTCTAAATGTCTAATCTTGAATGATTAAATAATTTGCATACTGTTTTCAGTGGCATGAATTAAAGGCTAATTGAAGTACAATTTTTTGCAGTAAAATTATATCATCTTTTATGTAGTACATTTAAAAATATTCTAGGCCAGTTCTAATTTTATACTTTTATTATTTTAATTTAATGTACCAAGTAATTAAAAATTGCTACAGAGAAAAGAAGATGAAAATGATTTTAGTTCATTTTGTCTGAACAGAGTGAAAAGATGATGAGGGGAAAAATGGAACAGAGTTCAACACAGTTGCTGGTACATAAAGATACTCATTAAATTTCCGTAATGAATAGCAATGAATAATTTCTAAGTATTTCTAGACGTCAGGAAAAGGTGCCATTCTCGGTGCTATAGAAAATAGGAACAAGATTGCTTGACCTCATTATCCTAAAATACTTCCATACAGAAGTCCCACAGGCCACTTGGACTGGAACCATTAGACCCTCAGTTTGCTCTGCTCACGTTTTCTCTTCTTCCCTTGAATCTTGGAGTAGATTCTCAGGCCAAAGTTGGTCACAGATGTTGAGAGACCATTCTCTGTGGGTATCTTGCATTTGGGTAGATCTTGCAAGTAGAGGCACTGACTGCTCTTTGTTCTGGTCTGTCTCTTCAGGGACATCTATATAGCAAACAGCTTTTGAAGATAAAGGGGAGGTTTGCTCATGGCCGTGGGAGATAGAGGCGGTGTCTCCTTCCAGAACAGAGGGAGGACAAGACATGCTTACTCTCCGGTCTAATAAAGGCCATGTCTCCCTATGAGACAAAAAGCAGGAATGTTTACTATCCATTTTAAGGCTCGGGTTTCCTAAGCTTAGGGCTCCTCTCCTGTAACATAGCCCACCACGTGGGCAGGAGTTACTCGGACCTTCTTGGGTCATCCCGTGGGAATCGAGGCTCAGAAAACTGGTGTGAAACATGCTGGTGTTCTGGCTGCTGTTACTGCTGTCAATTTATCTCTAACCAAGGCAATCTATGCCTTCTACCAACATCCATGAACCTGCAGCAGGCTGCCTTGTTAGTTTGCAAGTAGAATAAAATCTCATCTCAAACCCTAAACAGTTCTTGACAACAGGTTTCAGCAGGATTTGGGTATGTTGGCTGGTATGGTGTGGTGTAGTTCACACGCTCATCTAGGAAGCAAACCCTTTCAGTGCCAGTGGCTAACCACCACTTGGGGACCTGGGTCCATATTCTCAAGAGTAGAAGTGAAGGGGCACCATACAGTTAGCAGTAAAAGATAGAATGGGATCCAGAACCTTTGGCAAGAACGCTGTCTAAAACAATGAAGCCTCTGATAACCATCACTTTGTAGGGGTGGTGGGGGGTAGGGGGAGAAGAGCTTGGGAGAGCAAAGAAGATGCCATGCAGTTTTGGAGCAGCATGAAGTCTTTCACACTTATAGAATCTACAAATCATGGTGCTGGCACCTACCGTACTGAAGCTGATAAGCTTTTTTTTTTTTAATTTTTATTTTTTTTTTTTTTTGAGCTGAGAGGATGCATTTTCATGAGCACTTTGCTTTGCAGTCATAGTGCCTTGTTTAGTGTGCTCACATTGAGTGCTTATTATGGAAGAAGACAGGATGGCAGTGTCTGGCCCATTAGGTCACCCTCTCTGTGCCCCTCTTCCTTTCCTAGTCTTTATGGTTTATTAAAGTACTTTAGTACCACTTAGGCAACTTTAATAACAAACATGCAAGATTGGTCAGTACCTGTGGACCTCAGAAAGCTCCCTCAGGTACCCTCAGAGTCTGAACATAGTCATGCTGCCTCCAAGAACCAGCCCTTTGCCCACTTCCCTGTTGTGGGACGGCATTCAGGGCTGTTACGGAGACATGCTGTGACCTTTTCTTCGTTAGCCGCCTGATGAAACAGCTGTGTTTGGTTCCATACCATAGGGACTTTCATCCGGCGTCATCGGATTTCACTCCCTCCTCCTAATGAAGATCAGTTTTATACTGTGCATCATTTCAATATCAACATAGACATCATCTTCTATGGCCGGACATTCAAGATTTATGACTGTGATATGTTCACAAAAAACTTTCTGAGGAAAATGGGAGTCAAATTAAACCCCCCGGGACAGTGTCCAGAAGATCCTTACATGAAGTTACGGAGAGAGGTAAGGAGTTGATGATAGATCTGTGAGCTGGTATCTTCCGAATGAGAATCCAAAAAGGAGAGTCAGTAAAGGGTATCTGCACTCCTGACGCAGACGTGAAAGAATGTTCGGGGTCACAGTCACTGGAGTTATCCTAATCCCCTTTAGGCTGGAAGGAACTCTAGGTGTTGACCTCAGGGCAGGAAAGCCTCACTCACTGCTCCCACCCCCACTTCTCTCCATGGAGAGTCTCCCTTCCAGACAGACAGTAGGAGTCTTCAATGAGCCGCCCACATGGGACAAGCTCTAAGGCCCACTTTTACCTGGCCTGTCTTTCCCCATTTTGGTTGCCTAACCCTGGGAAAATGTTTGCTTCTGTTCTACTGATTTATTGCACCACACCTTGGGTATACCTTTTTTCTTCTTCCCCAGGACTCCCAGCTCTGGCGATGATGGCATTAGGTGTAGGGATATTCTAGTGGAATGGAGAGGGCCATGATTCTGATGTACCCCATTGTAAAAGGATGTTTGTCTTCCAAGTCTGACCCCAGTTAGTATAGGGAGGCAGGAACAGTGTTCGTAGTAGTATTGTTGTCTTTCTAAAGTTGTCTTTTTTTTTTTTTTAATGATCCCTTGGCCCGAATTTTGTGTTTTTTTACAGAAGAATCTGAACACGCAGAAGGGCAGGTTGTCAGGTGGAAGGTCACATACCCAGCCAGTCTTCTTATGAGGACTTCAGTTCAAATCTTTTGCTGCCTACCCAGAATTTCGTTATTGTCATTCTGTTTTTTTATGGAAGTATGGTTAGAGTAAAATACACAGAAATGAAGCACGCAGTTGAATGAGTCTTCACAAATGCATATGCCCATGTAATCCGCAGTCCAAATCGAGACACAGAACATGTCCGTTGCCCCAGAAACTTCCCTCTTGGCTTTTTCTAATCAATCACTCTTCCCACCCAGGGAGAGATAACCACTGTTCTCACTTCTATCCCTATAGATCAGTTTAGTCTCATTCCTATTGTTTCCTAAACTTGTAATTAATTTCCTTGCAGAAAGATAACATGAAATTTAGAATAAAATCCTCCTTTAATTCTGCTCTGAGCTCTTGTTCAAAGCTGCGTGTAGGGTCATTCATCTGTTCCCACCTCTTGGCCCCAGCAGAGTTATCCTTTAACGTTGTAGGCATGCAGCCCTCCTGAGAAATATGTCTTGTTGCTCCTGGAATATTTAAGGTGAAGTTCCTCTGGAATTATACCTGTGTATATTGGCATACGAGCAGATTTATAGTTTGGGTTTATTTTTATTTTTTTCCAAATGCCCTAGATGACAGAGCCTAGATAAACATGAAGTCTCTACAATGAGAAGAGAGAACCTGAAAGAACGGGTCCATATGAATTACCACCTTTTGCATATGGCTTCACTCATTTGCTAACAGTTGGTATTATACAATAGTGATTATGGATGGTGATGCATTATATTAAATACAGAGAGCTCTGTGCCATTTCATAGATTTATGAAGAAAAAAAAAATCTTTGTGCCAGGAACTGAGAATACATAACACAAACAGCCAAGAAATGTTTTAACTAATTTCCTTTCAGATTGGGAAAATCATTTTCACATTTATTCCCTCGGGGAGAAAGCTCTTCAATAAATATAGCAATCTGTGGAAAATTAGGAGTTTAATAAGAGGATTTTATATTGACTTTAATGCATTTACTTCTCCAGTATTTGCTGCCTTCAAATATAAAGTTAAAATTAAACAATTTAACTTAAACTGAAAAGAGCCCCAAAGGTGTATAATCAATAATGCATTTCTTAAAGGCCTTATAATGCCAAAGAAACATTTTTCAGTTAATGAAAGTAGAGGTCCCATAATTTCATTTAAATATCCAGGATAAGGAAAAAGGATAAGAGCCTCTGGAAGGCCATGATGTCTCTCTGCAATCCTGGAGTAGGTGTCCCCCAGACTGCCCCAGACAGATACAGAGTTTTGAGAATGGACAAATAACGATCACATAAACTGATATGGGACTACTTCTCCCTTGCCACTGAGCGCTCCTTTATATAACGATTCTGTTTCGCTACAGCAGATAGAATAGGAGCAATTTTGCTCCAAGACAGGGCTGAGAACATGCAAATAGAGCTCCACCAGGAAACCTGCAGAAGTGGGGATACCTGGGCTGGGGAACAGAACCCGCACAGCCATTCTGTGTGGCTGGGGAAGTCCTCCATTTGCTCATGTTTCGACGCCCTTCCAGATCCTCGATAGGAAAAGCTTAGAAGCAAAATAAAACTGGGACTATGTTTCTTCCCTTTTACTTTTACAAAAATCTTTGGATGAATGAGGATATACAGATATGAATTCTCAGTGAAAAGACAACAGGTTTTATGGGGGGTTGAGATAAAATTAACATATGCTCAGATGTATAAATCTTTTTTTTTTTAGAATTTATTTATTTGACAGAGAGAGATCATAAGTAGGCAGAGAGGCAGGCAGAGAGAGAGAGGGAAGCAGGATCCCTGCTGAGCAGAGAGCCTGATGTGGGGCTCGATCCCAGAACCCTGAGATCATGACCTGAGCTGAAGGCAGAGGCTTAAACCACTGAGCCACCCAGGTGCCCCTCAGATGTATAAATCTTAAGCATACAAATCAACAAGTTTTGGAAAATGTATGCAGTTTAATAAGTGACACAAAAATCAAGATGTGGAATATTTCCATCACCCCAGAAAATTCCCTTCTCCCCCTTTCTGGACAGTCCCCTACCCAGAGAGGAAATTACCATTTTAATTTCTGTCACCACATGTTAGTTTTGTGTGTTCTTAAGCATTTTAAGTCCTGGAAAAAAGCCAGTTTTCAAAGACAACCCGAAGTGTATTTTAGTGTTTCAGATTACTGTTTGATCTTAAATGATTTCTACTACTTGATTGTCTGTATTTTTAAGGTGAAAACTTGCTGTAGGTGTATCTACATGTATGTCATTAACGTGTTGACATTTAAAAAAAATAAATATCCCGTCATAGTCAATGGGCAAGATATCTTTACATTCTTTGATAGCTTGCGTCTCAGAAGTGGTTGCGTGGAAGTGCTGTTCTTGACTTTTTTTTTTTTTCTGTTTTCAGACTCTAGACTGCATGGGCCCCTTACGTCCTTATGAGTCCTTTGACACCCTGAAACAGTTCCTTGAATACGATAGGAAGGTGTTACGTTTTTTCTGCCTGTGGGATGACTCCGCCTCGCTGTTTGGGGACCGTAGGGAACTCATTCTGCATTACTTTCTGTCTGATGATACCATTGAAGTCAAAGAAGTGATACCACACAACTCAGGCCGGGATGCTATGTCCTTGTTCCTCCAGAGAAGAAAGCTCCCTAAGGTGAGCAGCGGACACAGAACCCCTTTCCACATTTGCCTGTGACCTCAAAGACACTCGTCACTCCCTGTCTGGAATGTCGGGCCCAGGTATCAGTCACCATATGTTAGTACAGGTGTCTAGAAAAGCTTGATTTTGTGCTCTCTCCTAAGATACATCTGTGAAAGTACCATAGAGGATATGACAAATTGAGGTAGGAATATTTGGGATTTAATTAAGGCAAGTAAAGGAAGAAAGTCAAATGTAAGAGAAAGCACATATTTATTACAGAGTTCGTAATCAGTCTTCTGAATGTAAAAGACTCTCTAGTTAGAATTGCTCTTGGGGTGCCTGGGGGGCACAGTCAACTGAGTGTATGACTCTTGATTTCAACTCAGGTCATAATCTTGGGGTCCTCCACTCAGTGCAGAGGTCTGCTTGAGGGTCTCTCTTCCTCTACCCTCTCACCAATAAAAAAATAAATCTTAAAAAATAATTTAAAACACAGTTGCTCATGCCCTTGGGTAGGGCACTGGCCTCTGGCCTCTATATTTTACTGAGGAAGTTGCATGGTTTTGGTCTATGTTGTGAATGTACAAATACACACACACATGCACACATACATGCACACACACACACACACTCCTATAAGCGTATGCACAAGAGTGACTCTTAGAAGAGTAGCCATCAGTCACCAACTAGCCATTGGCTAGCGTCAATGACAGCTTTTACATTTTGTTACTATTAAAAGAGAGTTGTGAGACTGATCTCTACATGTTCACGGCCATGTGAGAGCTAATGTAACTTGGGTGCAGCAGAAACAGCACAGAGACAGAAGACCTGGGTTAGAATTATGGGTCTCCCACTTAAAAGCTGTCTGACCTTCAGCAAGTCACGTCACTTCTCTGAGTGTATTTCCCTATCTCTAAAATGCTGGTAACAAGGCCTCCCTCTGGAAGTAACTGTAAAAGGATAGTATAGTAAAAGACACCCACTAAGAACCTAAAAACACTATAAGGACACATAAAAACATAAAATCCTTTTCACAGTTCTGTGTTATGTTTCATTTGTTATTTGGATAAAATATTTTTTAAAAAATATTTTTAAAATTTATTTATTTGAGAGAGAGAGAGAGAGAGAGTGAGAGAGCACATGTGCAAATATGTGCTTGGGAGCAGGAAGGGCAGAGGGAGAGGGAGAAACAGACTCCCCGCTGAGCTGGGAGCTTAACGCCAGGCTCAGTCCTACGATCCAGAGATCATGACGGGAGCTGAAGGCAGATGCTTAACCGACTGAGCCACCCAGGCATCCCTGGTTAAAAGTTTTTAACTATTTTAGAATGGCTCTGACTGATATGCTAATTATAAAATAATAATGACGCACCTGACATTTGCAGTGTGTCTTGACATCATTTGATTCATTTATTCATTCAGCAAATATTTATCAAGTGTCAACTATGTGCTGGCTCTGAGGTTACAGTGTGAAAGAAAATGGATTAAGTCCCGATTTGTGGAACTTACATTCTCATGGGGGAGAGAGAAAATAGCAGTAGGTATTCCCTTGACACTCAAGCATCCTTTGAGAAAGCAAGGAATCAGTACTATTATCGCAGTTAGATGACAAAACTGAAGTTCCCAGAAGGTAAATATCTGGCTCCGAGTCCTGTAGCTAGTAAGCGGCGAAGACAGAATGTGCTCCAAGTACGCTGGTTTTCTGTTACGTGGCTTACTTGCACCCCACAACTACTAAATTCACACATTTGAACTTGGCATTTTATGTCGCACGTATCAGGGATGATTCAGATTTCTCATCTGTATATGATTTGAGAAACTGATCACTATCAATTTGCATAAGTTAGTTAGGAGATTTCCCGCAGCTCCTGCAACTGCTGGGACCACCCCCAGTGCACGGAACTGAGGAGCATCGAGGGTCGCTCCGGGCCACAGTTTCTGGTAAAGGCTGACTGTGCTCTGTTGTTCTTGTGCCTCGCCCGCTGCCTCTGTCTCGCCGCCAGCTAGTGCTTCCCAAGCTCAGGATTGGGCAGGATGCTAAGCTGAGTAAAGACGGCAAGGCACGGTTTCTTCCTCAGGGCATTTCGTAGTTGAATGCAGAGAAAAGATGTCTGCCGATGAGGCATTTTAGAGAACCACAAGGGCTGCTTTAACCCTGTGGTAGGTGCTATGGAGGTGTGGACTGGGGACAGGCCAGGAGCATGGGAAGGGTCAGGGGAATAATGGGCCTTGATCAGGGCCTTGAAGGATGGGTGTGGAAGTATAGAGGGAGGTACATGGAGTGTGATGGCCGAAAAGAACTGTGTTAGCGAGAGGATAGCTACATTTCTCTCTGCCCTTCTATTCTAGGTTCTTGGCTGAGACCACGCCCCCCCATACCCAGAATAACAGATTAACAGGAGAAAGACCAACAAACATTTAATTACCTGCATACCTCCTGTAAGGAAAGGAAAATGGAGTAACTCCCTGAAATGGCCAAAGCCACCATCTTAAACATCATCTCGTCTTAAAGATGGAACAAACTGCCAGGGGAGGTGGGAAGGAGGCCAGTTATAGGGGGTCATGGAGAAAAGCACAGTAAACAAGAGGAAGGTTGTTACGTAGATTTATGTTGTCTTTTCCATTAATCAGAGGTTTTAGAGAGTACGAGTCTTCTTTCTTTTCCTGGTACACAGAGGGAGACACTCTTACAAACGGAGATTTCTTTATAGATGTACATTTTTTTTTATACAGAAGGATAATTGGTACTCAGCTTTTCCTGTGCCTGCCGTTTCTTAAAAATAACCAGCTCAAAATAATCAGTACACCCAAGAGACATATTTTGGGGTGGCGTGTTCACGCCCCTTCACATACAATGCGTATTTCCCAGTTGAGCCCCTCACCCTTCCCGGCTCTGTGTTTAGTAGGCCATCCACCACACCACACACTTGTTTGCATTCTGTCTTCTAGTACGGCCCACCTGGAGTCTATCAGCCAGGCCAGATAACAGATCGAACAGTTCTTAATGTGTACAGTGGCTTGGGAGAAAACCGAGTCAAAGGCTACCTATTGGATAAATACAAGGTAAGGAGCCTCACGTTTTGTTGCTCTTTCCAGTGTGGCTCTCCTGGAACCTGACATGTGCAGGGAGTCACAGATTGTCTTGGGGGATTGACTATGAATGAAGTTAATGACTATATAAATGCACATGCAACGCATCGCTGTCTGTCCACACCGAATGTGCTTAAGTGCGTGTATAAAGAGTTTCCAAGTGTTAACACCGACTGCTTGTTTTGGCTTGGTTTTTAAAATCCTGTTGTAAATGATACAATTGAGGGGTGGGTTTTTGTTTTGGTTTGGTTTGGTTTTGCAATTATGTTTCTTTCGGGAATGGATTCCTACCTCTTTGGAGGGTCTGTGGTGCCCACACTTTGTTCCTTTGTTTTTATTAGCTAGGAAAAGTAGATCAAGAGTTTTATAAAGATGATGACCTGTTCATAGGAGCCACCATCAACGTGTGGGGAAGGAAAGTGCTGCTTTGTGACTGTGATGAATTCACGAAGACTTATTATAAGACAAAATATGGAATTGGTAAGCGAAACGTATGTCCATTAGAAAATACATTTTAAAACTTGGAATCTTTGTCCCCTATGTAAGATTTTACTTTTGGGTTTGAAAGTCTAAGCTCATCATCGCTACCATTTATGGAGCATTTGCTCTCTGTTGGGCGTTCGTTGGCTTCCTTATTCCTAACAATGATTCTAGGCTCATTACCTCCATTTTTGAGGTAAAGAAACTGAGGCTTGGAAGCGGCTCACTTGTCAGAGGTTGTGCAGTGAGTGAGGGGTGAGCTGAGATTTGAGCTTGCCTGCCCGCTGCCAGAGGCTTCGGTTTTCCTTTATAGCCAGCCCCCTGCCTTACTGCAATATGGGGTCAGTGTTTTCTGGTCGAGCAACTGAAATGGGAATCTGAATGCTTTTCTTTTCACTGAATTCTTGCTTACTACAATGGTTATACTGCTTCTTGAGTTTTCTGGGGAATTCTCTTGTGTCAGTTTGCTCTACCTTTGCTGGTGAAGCCTGGCTACGTTTCCAGCTTTCTCTCTTCTTGGGTATCCGTTCTATTCAGATAAGTTCAGTTCAGAATGAAGACATGTGATTTATTAAGAACCTACTGGGCACAGGTTATTGTAGTAGGACTTAGGAGCTACAGAGTTAAAGAGTTTCTTGGGCTGGAAGGAGAGTGGAAACCTATAGCACATTGGATGGTGTTATGAGAATGACAGAAGCAGGCAGAGGATCTGATACGAGACCTGACAAACAAACCCCTCATTTGTGAAACCTGCCAGCCAGCTCTGCCCCCTTCCTGGGCCCTGTTCCAGGTACCTGCTGGCGCTAGGCTAAGTGGGGGTGGCGGGAGTTGCTGACCTCCCAGGCTGGGATCTGGCTGGGGTAGGAGGGCTTATTCCTGCATGCCTTTCCGAACCTTGGAGTGTTCTGGTGAGCACACTTCCCTGAGGGATGAGATGGAGGCCAGAAGCAACCACAGCTTTCTAGAAGACAAGGTGCTTTTTCTTTAGAATGAGACGAGCACCTCACAGGTCTTGGTGTTCCATTGTGGAGTATTCCCAAACTCCTGGGAATCTCTTTCTTTCTTTCTCTTTAAAGATTTTATTTATTTATTTATTTAGAGAGAGCTGGATAGGGGGCAGATGCAGAGAGAGAGGGAGAGAGAATCTCAAGCAGGCTTCACACTCAGTGCAGAGCCCAATGCGGGGCTCAGTCCCAAGACCCTGAGATCATGACCTGAGCCGAAACCAAGAGTCGGATACTTAAGCAACAGCCACCAGGCGCCCTTCCTCCTGGGAATTCATATCTCGTGGGAGAAGGCATGTACCACACACAAAGCATTGGAACAAAAAAGGACATTGAATTTCACTCTTCAGTACATTAAGGGAATTTGTTCCACTGCAGCTGCAATGCCATATTAGGCAAAATGTGTGGGCCCTGTGGGGCCAAATTGGTGGGGTCTCCCAACATTCTTCCTCGTCTGTGGACACCATTGGGCATATTGGTTTTGGGGACTGTGAGCAAGAGGCATCCAGGATAGTGCATGTGGTGGCTATTGTAGGAAGTGGCTAGTGGCCCATAGGTCTTTGTATAGGAGAATTTGTTTTTTGTTGGTTTTTTTTTTAAGATTTTATTTATTTATTTGACAGAAATCACAAGTAGGCAGAGAGGCAGGCAGGGGTGGGGGGGAAGCAGGCTCCCTGCTGAGCAGAGAGCCCAATGCGGGGCTCAATCCCAGGACCCTGCGATCATGACCAGAACTGAAGGCAGAGGCTTTAACCCACTGAGCCACCCAGGTGCCCCAGAGATTTGTTTTTTTATAAATGTCGGTGCCTATTTAAAGCCAATAAATCTTCAGTGTTGGCTACTTAAAATTTGAAATATATATATATAAAAGATGAGTTAACCAAAAACACTGACTTCTGTCCCACTGAATGATTATCTTCGTGTAAAGGATGGGGCAAAGTTTCCAAACCATCCTAGGATCCCTTCGACCTAGAGCCCAACATCTGGTTGGTGTTTGTCTGTCAGCTTAATTTTGAGACTCTGAAGGTGGCATTTGGTAAAATGGACATGGTTCTGGCGAGACATGGGACACTCTTAGTTTCTTAACATGTTGGCAGGGAACTTGCCGAGGCAGAATGAATTCACTGGTGTACTCTGTATGGATCTGCTTCAGGTGACCCATGGTCCATTTCCGTGGAGCCCTAGCGCTTAATTTCTTTCTGCTCACTTCTTTTGTTCACTCTATAGGATTATGTATTATGTAAAAAAAACAAAACAAAACAGTTTGTGCCTTTAAAGCTAATATAACACGAGCATTATGCGTTTAAACAGAAAATTATGCAAATGCAAAATTATGATGCATTTTATAGTCACGCTGACTTTTTATATTTCTCATAACATATGTTAAAATATCCCATTTAACAGTCACTATTATTACACAACATTTCTTGAGTAACAACAGTGTACTTAATGTAAGTAATGACTAGAAATTATATCCACGATGCAGCGGGGGCGGGGGTGGGTGGGTTGTGAATCCGTGTTCTCTGATAATCTTTACATTGCCTTTTCTGACTTTTTGGTAAGGTTAAATTAAGATGCTTCATGTTACTTGGATACCGTTACTTCTGACATTTTCATTTGGTTGATAATTCATTCTGCTTCTCCAAATTCGTAAGACCAAATTCTATACACTGTACTTCAGGATTTTGGGAGCTTAGACCTGAACAAGGTCCTGCCCATACCCGAGGTCACCTTTCCTTCCATGTCAATAACTGTGGTCGGTAGAATGCGTAGTGTCTCTGCTCTGCAGCCCCACAGGAAGGAGCTGGCAAGTGCTTACCACACACCAGGGACCTCCTAAGAAGAAGCCAGAGGGGACATTGGTAAATGCAGCCTCAGGTGCTTTTTTCCAAGAGCTATTTGCACCCTGGTGTAAAACCCAATTTGCCTCCTAAAAAGAGAAGATTCTTCTGTGCATTTAAGGATTCTAAGGAAAAAGCAATTCCGTCGACTTCTTGCACAAAACACTCCAGTGTGACTACCCCACCAGGCAGCTTGGCCATCCCGCCAGCCCTGGCTCACCTGCTGGGTGGTAGCATGTCGCTCCCTCATTATTTCGTGTGGATGAACATGGACTGGCAGATGGAGGCCTGTTGGACTTTCCTGTAGCATAAAGGTTAGAAAAGGCTCCAGGGGCTCCAGCATGTGTTTCTTTCACCGAAGGAACAGGGACTTGAAACAGCTCTTACCTAGAATTTCCTGCCTTGGGTTATTTCTTTGCTATAGGAGGACTTGCTGGTCATCCATTCTTAGGAGCTGGGACAACCAACAAGTAAAAGACCAGCCGTTCCCCATTGCTCTTGAATATTTCCGAGGCTGTACTGACATGAAGGATGAGCACAGTTGTTAAAGCATCTTTAATTTTGCAGTATTACTTCTGGACTGTTGATTAACTCTGAACTCCTGGTGCAGGAAGCAGTGGGACATCCAAGATGGGGAATTTAATAGTCATGTGAGCAGATGAGCCATCCCAGGCTACAACAATGGAGTAGACTTTGCTTCTGGTTGCACGATATGACCTTAATGGGTGGAACAGTTTTATCCCTTTGTCTTCCCCTGTGAAGTCCAGTGGATTGAGGAATCGATGGTCCCCAAGGATTTTCTAGCTACAGCTCAGAAGTATGCGATTCATTAATGATTTGACCCAGAAATGAACATCCCATCCAAATTAGTTGACCTGGGTATTGTACAAGCAGAGGGGGATTTGCTTTGACGTTCATGAAGCTCGAGTTTTAGGGTTCTTCCTTTGCAGGAGCCCCAGTCCAAGGCCGTGGACCTGAGTTTGTCTTCATAATTTGGCATTCTTTGTATTGAAGAGCTTCTCCCAAATTATGTAAGCCTCAGGCCTCCCCAAATGTGAGTCCATATGTGGTTACTAGAACATACAAGATGAACTTTGAGGTGATTGAAGGCTTTTTCCAGCGTAGTTTCCAACTGAGATGGCAAATAGTCGGTCACTGTAAAGTGTCATTAAGATTCATTTGAGAAACCTATCACTTTTCTGCAAATTTGTTGGAATCTAGTTAATCACGGCTGGACATTCAGTATATATGTTTGTGCAAGTCACTTGGAATTAGAGGAATCAGACCATTGGAAAGCCAGATGTGTCCCAGGGTTCAGGAGAGGGCCGTTGAAGAAGATATTTGGGAAGATGCTGTGTACAAAAACATGTCATTTTTCATGTATCCAACAAATAGTTTTTAATACCTGAAACATGCAGGATGCTAGGAACACCAAAGACATGGAACACCAAACACCATGCTTTGGAACACCAAAGACATGAAGCATATTCAGGGGCAAGTCCCAAGCCTTGTGAAGGTATACAATTACCCAGAGACATGAGCTCTTGGGTCAGAGTATCCAGAAAGATGGACGCGGGACAAAAAATCAGGCAAGTGGAGTGGAACCGTCCTTGGCGTTTATACACTAGATGGCACTGTGGGTGCAGAGGAAAGCTCTGACTTGGTTCTTTTGTTACTTAAATCTGTTGCAAAAATTATGTAGTTGAGAAAACAAGGCTGTTATAAAACCTGTAATTTGGGGGGAGGTATAGAATGCATTCTTAATTACTTTGTGATTCAGTACGCATCCTCTTTCGGTTACACTCTTCAGATTAGTATGGAGAGTTGTCCGTATGGATGTGTCCCCTGTTAAGAGAAGCGGATCATGCCCCAGTTTTCTAATAATCACACTGAGCTTTCCCTGCCAGCCTCTGGTCCTTTCCCTGAAATGACGGTACCACTCAGTGGCATGTTTGATTTCATGGTTAGCAACAATAGGGTCTACTGCAGTTCTGCCTAATCCCAAAATCTGAATTTTCCTCTTTATCACCCAGATTTTAATTGCCACAAAAATAGCAATAGGAGAGGCTTGCTGTCACTTCTGTACTGGCTGCTTGGCTGCTGGCTCTCACTTGAGCCAGTGAGAAAGCTCTGATGGCGTTCTCTCTGCCAGTGTGTCTTCTGTGAACGGTTTCCGTTAGGATAGAACAGTACTCTTTTGGGGATCATGCTTGAGGGGATTTCACACAAAGCTGAGGAATAAGGAAGTCTAAGGAAATATGAAAGTTGAAAATGTCTTCAAATCAGAGTTAGAAATAGCTGCAGACCCTTAGCCTTTTGATCCATCTGTTTAAAAAAAAAAACCCTCAATTTTAAGAGTTAGGTTGCGTTGAATGACAAATTGATGCACATTTTCAGCGATAGAGATGTGCTCTAAGTCTGTACTCTTGCTTCTGCTAGGACTTTGACAGTGGAAAAGGAAATCATTGCTTATATGGAACTACTCTGAGTCCCAAATGGCACTACCTATGGGATATGAGAGCTTGGGGAAGGAGTAGAAGTTAGACTGCATGAGTTGTTTTCTTGTTGTGTTTTGCTTTCGGAAAGATCCTGGCATTTTCTTTGCCGTTTGTGGTGGAACAAATACAAGTAAGTGACTTGGAGCTCTCAGTTCAGCAGTCTCTTCCCTCTGGAGAGCACACTTGCTTCTCAGACATTCTACAGCTTCACAAACGAGGGCCTGAAAGCTGCCAGGGTGTTACAGATATGTCCGAAGCTCTCTGTCCATCTCTCCTGCCTCACAGATAAAAAGTACAGAAAGAAAATCAGTGGTATTTCCATGTAACACCCCCTGTGAGCGAGTAAGCAGGGGTTAGCTTTAAAGTTTTGTGTATTTGTTTGTTTTCAGTTTTATTTATGTGTGTGTTTTTGGTTTTTGTTTTGTTTTATTTTATTTTATTTTGTTTTTGTTTTTGCTTCATCACATTTTAGTCTTTTCTTGGTAGAAAAGACTTGGTAGTCTTTTCATTGTAGTCTTCTTGGGCAGTCACAAGCGCAACCCGGAGCGGTGGCTGGTGAGCAGTTTTGATTTTGTTTTGTCACTAGATGGGGAAGTGCCATGGCCTGGGGTTGAGTTGGAGGAAAGAGAGAGGCCTGAAAAAGTTGGACGCAGGAGGAGAGGACAGCGCATGGGGAAGGTAGAGGCAAAACAGGAGTTAGTCCTGTTTGGAAAGGAATTTGAAGAGTGAGTGTTGACTGGGCAGGAAGGGCCTAAGCTGCAGGTTAAAACAGGGGATGGGTGGCAAAAAGTCCCAAGTTTGAATTTTCATATCACTGGAACAATCAGGGAAGAATGAAAAATAGTCAGACATGGGGGTGTGATGACAAAAGATAAATGTTTACTTATTCGACATAGACAGTTTCTTTTTTTTTTCTTTTCTTTCTTTCGAACCAATGGCGATTATTGAGTGAGTTCTGTGGTTTTTGTAAACACAAATGAAACCTACCCTCCCAGGATTTTGCTGTGTTTTGTTTGAAAGAGTTTAAAATAGTCCACAAAGATCTCCATGTCCATCTTGAAAACATAACAAACCTTTCAAAACAGCCACAATCAGGGCAAAAAAAAAATATTGATGTTTCGTTCGCCTTTGTTTTGTTATAGAGAACTTCACCTCGATTCTGTGCAAGGCTCCACCTCCTCCAAAAATAGAAAGGAAATTTCCACCTTATACTGGCTTTGGTTCTGAAGAGGATTCTCTCCGCTCCTGCATAGGCCTCAGGCCCACACCTCATCAGAAGGACTTCAGGAAGTTCGTGGCAAAAGACAGGTGCTTGAGGGAACCATGACTTCAGTCTGATCTTTCCCAAATGTATTCAGGGTTTATACCATAATCTTCAGGGCGGAACATAAGACACTCAGCTCATGTAATTAAGAGTTCAGGAACATCACATTATAGCTTTTTAATGACACTGATTAACATGCAAGTATTAAGAGGTTCTTCGTTGAGTGGTTATTTTATTTTTTCCCAGTTTTATTGAAGTATACTTGACATATAATATTGTGTAATTTTTTAAAAAGATTTTATTTATTTATCAGAGAGAGAGAGTGTGCACACAAGCAGGGGGAGGGGCAGGCAGAGGGGGAGACACAGGCTTCCTGCTGAGCAAGGAACCCGATGTGGGACTCATTCCCAGGACCCTGGGGTTATGACCTGAGCCAAAGGCAGACGCTTAACCGACTGAGCCACCCAGGCGCCCCAACATTATATAATTTAAAGGTGTGCAACATAATGATTGGATACATATACATTTTGTAAAAATGATCACCACTGGAAGATTAGTTCATGTAAGTCATCTCCCATAGTTACGTTTTTTTTTTCTTCTGTGATGAGAACTTTTAAGATCTGGTCCCTCAGTAACTTTTCAATATACAATAGAGTATTGTTAACTACATACACCCTGTTGTACATTATTACATCCCTAGGACTTACTGATCTTATGACTGGAATTTTGTACCTTTTGATCCCCTCTACCCATTTTACCCACTCTCTTCCCCCCCGAGCTCTGGCAACCACCAGTCTGATCTGTTTCTGTGTGTTTGGTTTTTTGAGATTCCACACGTAAGTGAGATCATACAGTATTTGTCTTTCTCTGACTTATTTCACTGAGCATAATGCCCTCGAGGTCCATCCATGTTGTTGCAAATGGCGGGATTTCCTCCTTTTGTATAGTTGGATAATATTCCAGTGCGTGTACATATACCTGTATCCATCTGCCTGTCGCTGGATGCTTAGGTTGCTTCTATGTCTTGGCTGTTGTGCATAACGCAGTAAACCCGAGGGTGTGGGTATCCTTTCAAGTTAGTGATTTCATTTTCTCTGAATATATATCCAGAAGTGGAATGGCTGGATCATATGGTGGTTTTAATTTTTTGAGGAACCTCCATACCGTTTCCCAGAGTGGCTGCCCCCACTTCACGTTTCCACCAATAGTGCATGAAGGTTCCCTTTTCTCTACCACCAAGTGGTTATTTTCTTTTATTATTTTTTATTTTTATTTTCTGAAACTAGAGAACACTCCATGAATTTGCTTGTCATCCTAATGACGCAGCAGACACACTCATCTCTGTATTGTTCCAATTTAGTATAAGTGCTGCCGAAGTGTGCAATTGAGTGATTATTTTAACGAGTCAGCTAGAAGCTCCTAAAATTATATTACCCCCAATTGATGTTGCCTTTCCTTACATATATCTCCTCAAGATGGTCCCTTGGAAGTGGTATAGAGTAGGGGTCAGCAAAATTTGTCTTGAAGAGTCAGATACTAAATATTTTTGGCTTTGAAGGCCATAGGGTCTCTGTTAGAACCATCCAGTTCTGTCACCATAATGTGAAAGGATCTGTAGAGCCCATAAACAAAGGTGTGACTGGTTCCAATAAAACTTTGTGTATGGACACTGACATTGGATTTCATATAATTTTTGCATATCACAAAATAATATCTTCTTGATGTTTTCACCCATTGAAAAACGTGAAAACCATTCTTAGCTTACAGCCCATGCAAAACCGGGTGGCTGGCCATATTTGATCCACATGCTGTAGTTTGCCTACCCTTGGTCTCAAGGCTTTAGTGACTCTGAAGTATTTTTCAGACTTTTATTTGACGACTGATGTTGTTTTCCTTTGAGAAGTTTGGCTGAGTTTAGTAACCGTAGATTGCTCCCATGGCCAAATATAATTTCAAAATATGGACTTTCAAAACTTTTCCTAATATATACAAGGAAAAATCTCCCACTCCATCATGTGTGTAGAATGTGGGCACAGCCCATGGCCACTTTTTTACTTCTTCAGGGAGATGAGGCCCCTGAGAAAGAAGTTGGGGGGGGAAATGGCGGGAAAATGTTGCAGATTTTTGAATAGGATGTGGGCTAACCATTGAAGTCCTGCATGAGGGGATTAGTGAGTCAGGAGAACTGGTAGAGGAAAATGATAAAGGAACATGTAGTAAGACCAGGAGAAGGAGATGAAAAATATAGCATCCTGAATTTGATATAAAATCTAATGGGATCAGATGCAATCGTAGAACCATTTTGACATAGAGAAAATAATCGTTTTGCCGTGCTTGTAAAAATGACAAAAATACATGAAGAATTGTATAGAATGTCAAAAAGGTTGTCTTCCTCATGACATGATGGCCTTTGCAAACTTTAAAGAAATAATCTTTGGGGCACCTGGCTGGCTCAGCCGGTGGAGCCTGTGACTCTTGATCTCAGGGTTGTAGGTTTGAGTTCCATGCTGGGTGTAGAGATAACATAAAAATAAAATCTTTTTTAAAAAAGCCAATCCTTTATTTTGAAGTACTTTAGGGTTCTGTTTTTTTTTTTTTTTTAAGTGCTAGAATAGATGCTACTCAAAGTGTGGTCCCCACACTGGTTAGAAACACTAATTCTTGTGCCTAATCCTAGACCTCCTAAGGCAGAGACTCTGGGGGTTGGTAGGACCCCTTACTGTGTTTTAACCAGCCTTCCAGGGGGTTCTGATATGCACCAGACTTTGAGAACCACTGCTTTCAATCACATCAGGGGGATACCAACTCATACGCCATCCTCCTTATGGATAACAGAGTTTACCGTGAGGTTTCAGGGCAGGACTTCTGATGGATACTTTTCACTAACTGCTGTTTTTTAGGGCAGCCACCCGAAGGAGGCGGGCAAGAAGAATGTCCCTATTGTAAAAGGAGAGGGAATTTTTCTTATAAGTAAACAAGATGAAATATGATCTAGGGTGTTGGTTCTGGAACCCAGGGGGAAAACAGCTCCTTGTGGGTAGCTGCCTTAGTCTCTCTCTTTCTGTCTACACCGCATCAACTTGCCCACAGAGCATGGACCGTAGACAGCATTCCACGTTCTCGTCCTGCTGTCAGGACTGGATGACGGTGGCACAGGCACAAATGTGTCTAATTTTGTTTCTTTCTGTCCACTGCTCGCTCTGAGCCAGGAATACACTTCCTTCAAGCTCCTCCCACACAGTGACCTTGTTTCCATAGTAACTGGCACATTCAGCTAGAGACTTACACATGAGTTTGAATAACTCAAGGTTTTAAAGCTGTGAGAACCTAGGGAAGACGGTCCACAAAGCATGCAAAAGACAGTTTCTTCATGCAGATAAAGTGGGAATTGAGATGTGTAGTTGTGTGTGACGTGTGTCGATTATATGTATGTTGCTGTTAGAAATCTCCTGGGTGCTAATCATTGTATGAGGTTACTGGTGATCTACTTTAATTCGCTGGAGGAGGAAATAGTTCCAAATTAGAACATATGAGGTTTTTGATGGAATGAAGGCCTTTATTTTCTGGGTAAAAATTCACTGTGGTGGCCTGCTGGGCAGATTGTCTAGTCTGATTTGGGAGAACCAGAATAGTATCTTTCTCCCTGCACTGGTGGAATTAGTTACTTTGTTCTCTGTGTGCCCACAATACTCTGCTGGTCATACCTCTTGTAGTTGTAATAATAATAATAATAATAATAATAATAATATTACTACTGCTGATAAGCAATTTGCGATTATGGTATGCTAAGTACTTTATAATACTTGATCTCATGTATTCCTCAAAACAACCCCATGAAATAAATAACATTATCGTACCCATTCTTCACACGAGGGAACTGAGGGTCAGAGATTTTATGCCATTTGCCCAGGCTCTCCCAGCTCATTTGTAGTTGAGCTGGGATTTGAAACCAGAGAAGTCTAACTCCTGGAGTTGACCTTTCTTTCTCCAGAGCCTGTACGATTCGCGGTGTGTGGCAATTACTTGTTCGTGGAATCGTGGTGTCCCCCTAGATCAAGAGGTCCTTCAGGGCAGGGACTGGCTTTACTGCTTCCCTCAGAGTGAGAACAGCACTGGCTGCATGCTTGGGGCTCGTTAAATATTTTGTCCCAGAAGGGAAGGAAGTTATTTTCTCATCATTAAGTAAGACTTCATGTTTCTTCCAACCCCGAGAGTATAGCTCTCGCTGTTTTTGAGGTTTTCAGTGGGTACGTAGCCCTGAGCGATCCATTCATTTTCCTGGTCCGTAAACACAGGGCACCTGCCTGTGTGCCAAGCCCTGATCTAAGGGCTTGGGATTCGTCATTGAACAGAACAGACATGCAGCCCTGCTCTCCTAGAACTTACAGTCTAACTGGGGGAGGCAGATAGCGCACACCACGGCTAACAGAGAAGGGCATTCTATAAGTACGGAGAAGGTGTTAAGTACCATGGACGAAGTCAAGCAGGTAATAAGTTGCTATGAGAAGAATAAAGAGGAACTGGCAGGGTGAGGCTGAGGCGTACCCCTGGTTTCATTTTTAAAAAGAGCATGGTCTGGATGGGCTTTACAAAAGGGAAGAAATATGTTCTGGGCTGAAGGAACAGTTGGTGTAAGGGCCCTGAGCAAGGAGCAGGTTGACATAGATAGAAGATGAGGGTAGAGGGCAGAGAAGACAGATTAGAAGAGGTAATGGGGGCTCAGATGCCATAGGGCCTTGCAGATCATTGTAAGGGTTCTTTTGACTTTGAGTGATAAGAGGACTCCTTGGGAAATCAGAGCAGGGGGAGTGACTTGATCTGATTTACATATTAAAGCAATCACTCCAGTGGCCCTGTTGTCAGTAGAGAGCAGAAGGGCAATGGTGGCAGTAAGCGCTACTCCAGAGCCTGCCACAGCCATCCAAGAGAAAAGTTATGATGGCTCTGATCCTGGTGGGTGCCATGGAAATGATGAGATGTAGCAGATTCTGGAACTGTTTTTGAAGTTTGAGCTAACAGGATTCCGTGACAGATTTGGACATGAGGTCTGAAACCACAGAGGCATTAAGAATGACTCCCAAGGTTTCGGTCTGAGCAAGTGGAAGGATAGAATTGCTATCTACCAAGATGGGAAAGACTGTAGGTAGAACAGGTTTGGAGCAAGAACGGAACTTCAGTTTGGGCTCAAGTGAAGTGTGAGATGTCTCCTAAATACAAAATATAAGTAATATATATATATATAACAAATAAATGTATTTATATGTACTTGGGGTTCGGGAGAAAGGTCTGAGTTAAACATAGAAGTTTGGAAATCATTGGCATGTAGATGGTAGTTAAAGACTTGATACTAGAAGAAATCACCAAGGAAGTGAATATACACTGAGAAGTGGATGACCAAGTAATTCCTTATAGGATACCGCCTTTCCAATACAGCAAGGACAATAATCCGCATCTACATAGACCTGTGTTGTTCAAGGGTCACCTGTATGTTCTGCGTGGTCATGGCAGCTAGCTGCAGGTGGGTGTGTCTGAACCTATCCATGGCCCAGAAGGGCAGATGGAGCAATGTAGGTGGTATAACAGGAAGCAAAGAAAATGCTGGTTTTTTGAGGGTGAGGGAGTATTGTGATAAAAAGTTTAGAGAATGTTGATAATTAGCTTATTAGTCAAGGAAATAGCTGAAGATAACTCACAGTGTTTTCCAAAGTGTGCTCTGGGGGCCACTTCATCAGAACCTCCTGGGGAGCTTATTAAAAATGCAGGTTTCTGGAGATACAAGCTAACTACTGAATTCATATCCCTGGGGGTAGGACTCTGGATTCTGTATATTTAACAAGTTCCCCAGGTGACTTTTAAACACAACAAACTTTGTGAACTGCTGCTCTAAAGATTTTTGTTTGAGTAAATTATATTCCTGACTGACGAGCTCTCCAGAACACAAGACTTAGGTGAAAAAAAAAATGGCATTTTGAAAGTGAAAAACCCACACTTAACATACACACTTCTAAACGCACTTAAGTTCTAAGAAGCTAAATTTACAATAGTGTTCCTTTGGCCTGATGTTAAACCTCCTTCTGGTTGTTTCAGGGACATTCCTGTATCTGTGAAAGTTAATGGCTCCCCCAAATCTGTTTGTTGCTTATAAATCCAGTTATGTACCAGAGAAGATGGTTGACAAGGTGTAGCTCCCCCCATGCTCTCTGAGATCTGTCTGAAGCCAGGGAAACCAGGAACTAAGAAGAGAGAGCTGTGGAGCCCCGGCTGTTTTGCCCTAGGGTTCCTGGAGGCAAACCTCTGAACTGCTGCTTTCCACCTCAATGGAGGCCTTACGTCAATGTAGCTGAGAATCTTGGCGCCATGCTTTTCCAGCCCTGCTTCCTTGGACATTCGGAGAAAGGGGCAGAGAAAAGCAAATATGAAATATGGGTTCTGTTTTGTTCTATTTTGTTGTTTTGTTGTTGTATTTTCATTCTCTGTGACCACTGGGAAGGAATGATCTTTGGCATAGGAGAATCTGAAAGCGAGGGCCTCCCAGCTTTGAGTTGTGACAGGAAATTGATGAAGTTCATCGTTTATTTTACTTTGTGCCTCCCTGAGGTAATGATTTTGGTTACCAAAGACTTCCCCATGGGTTTAGTATTTTACAAAGGCCACCTTACACTAGCTGATTTCCGCATATGTGCTTCCACTCATGGACCATAAATTAATGTCTTCAATGACCAGGCAGTCAACTTGGGAACTTTTGATTCTAGAATTTGATCCCATCTTCAATAGTCACTAGACTATTTTATTCATGCATAGAATTCTGAGTGCAAATTTTAATCTATCTGGATCTTTTCATGACCTTCTACCAACATTTATTGAGTACTTATGATGTAAAAAGTATTGTATTAGCCAGTGGCTAATAAGGCACAGTCCTTGCCCTGGGGAAACAGACCTGTAATAGCCACTCACAATATGAGTGATAAGTGCTATATTTAATCTAGCATTATGTATTCTAGCATTTGCAAGGGAAGAGGTAATTTTTTTCTTGAAGGGAGTTGGAGGGATGCTGGGGATCTGGGGGAGTGGCTCAGGGAGGAGAGGATGTGGGGCTGGAAGGAAGCAAGAAATGGGCCTGAGAACGTGGGAGATGGCCACGGGGTCATGGCTCCAGGCACTGACAGGACATACCCTCTTGCTGCTGGACCAGTGAAGGCCAGGTGCTGTCCTTCCTGTTGACATGATTGTTGTGGCCGCTGACCAGCCTCGTGAGTGGGAAACACCTGTTCAAAGCAGCTGGTTTGAGGAGTGTGTTTATGACATTTGTTTTTGGTACATTTTCCCGATGGGTTACCCTGGACATCTAAAGAATAAGAGAGATTTTAATAAACTGAGAGAATTTCTCTGCATATAGATCTAAAGCCTAAATAATAAGAAGGTGGTTGAACTTTTTCAACTTCAGAGAGTTTATGCTACTCCCTTAATACTGTAGCACACGTGGCAGATGGGGGAGGTGGGTGAAATGGGTGGAGGGGGTCAAAAGGTACAACCTTCCAGTTACAAAATAGAGAAGTCCTGGGATGTAATACATTATGGTGTTTATAGTCAATAATACCGTATCGCATATTTGAAAGTTGCAAACAGAGTAGATCTTTAAAGTTCTCATCACAAGAAATAAAATATATAACTATGTGGGGTGGTAGGTGTTGAGTAGTCTTATTTCAGTGGTCATAGCGAATCATGTTGTACAGGTGAAATTAATATAATATTGTAAATCAGTTATACCTCAAAAAAATAGCATACCTTTGGCAGGGTTTTTTTTTTTTAATTCTGTAATAAGGCTGTAACCCTCATTTCTCTTCCATTTAGCTATGGCAACATAAGCAATATACTCCGGTTTTTTGCAAAACTCTTCACACACAAATGTGCAGATGTGGACAGGTTGTTTGTTATTTCGTACTTTCTCAGTGATGACACGATTTCAATATTTGAACCTATTGAGAGTAATTCAGGTAAGAGGTATAGCTCTTATAGCAATTTTCTCAGAATAAGAAACTGTCTCTTCATTTTGAAAGTTAGGGAGCGTGGTTTGATTTTATAACCTAGATGACTAAGACAGTGGCTTTTATTTCTTTTCTTTTTTTTTAACCACCAAAGTTCATTTTACAAAGCTCTCTTAAATGGGAACCCAGACATATAAAATGATGAAAGAGGAACAGGAAGAGTTTGGTTGGCTCAGGGTTGGGGGACTCTGGACGCCTTCTTTTGGAAAGTATTCCCCTTTCTGCTGTGGCCTTTGAGGTTCTTCTGTGGAATCCGGGGGCTTCAGAATCATGGTCTGTCTACCACCAGTTCCATGCAAAGACAGCAAGACAAGAGGAAATCTCTGTTTTTGATAGTACCACTGACAAAATGTTGGCTTAAGTATAAGACGATCCCAGATTTAAAAAAAAATTTAATTTTCAAAGTCTGTCTCCCTCTGGCTTCTCTGTCTGTCGAGGCTCTTGCCAAGGTTCCAGCAAACAGGCCCACGGAGTGCCTCTCTGCAGTGCACTGATGCTGTGGACATTGCCGGGACGAGCCATTGATTCTGACTTACCGAATTATGGAACTCTATGGCTCTGCTCTTTGTCCCAACACATTGAAAATTTTTATCTGTGCCGAAGGCACATCTGGGAAGAAGAATCAGTAGTGTGCTGGTAAACTGGCTTTCTGAAAAAAATTTAAAAGCCCTGATCTCCAACACTTGTCAGATGTCATGGAGCAGACACCTCAACCACAGTGCATTTCAAGCAACCAACAGTAACAACTGGCTTGGAAAATCCCTAACAATTTAATAGTCGGCCCTTAGGAGTTGCTGTGAGCCACTCTGTGCACCGATGAATAAGGCATAATTTGTATAACTAAGTCAGGCTGCATAGTGGTTGGAATAACGGATCAAATCCTAAAATATGAAATCAAATAGGAATAAGTAGAAAGTCATGGTCTTAAAGGTCAAAAAATCCTCTCTGGGGGTGCCTGCTTGGTAGACCATGTGACTCTTGATCTCAGGGTTGTGAGTTCAAGCCCCATGTTGGGTGTGGAGGCTACAAAAAAAAAAATCAACTCTGTACATCTAGAGTGGGGAAGATGATGGCCAAACAGATTGCAGCACTTCTAAAACAGGGTAATAGACGTCAACTGCAAGCATCTTAGTAATAATAGCAGCCATGATTACCTACCATTATCCTTAGGAAAAACTCCAAGAGGTTAAGTTTTATGTTAGTCCAGATCCTCCACGGGGCAAACCGCAAGATGGGACTGAATATAAAAGAGATTTACTAGGGAAAATGCCAGCAAGGGAAATTGTGGAAGGAGCCAGAAGAGGCCAGGAGAGCCGTCGGACTTCAGTGCCTGTCTGACTCCTGTGAAGGACAGCAGGAAGGAAGAAAGGAAAGAAAGTCTTAGATTGCAGGGAGATTCTAAGCAAGTTTCAGCTAGGCTGACCAGGAACCCGAGAGCCAAGTCATTAGTTGGAAGAAACTCCATCTTGCAGGAATGGACCTACCTTGGTATCCCTGTCCTGTCCAGTCATTTGTTGGCAGCAGCCCATGGGAAGCGTGACCTTGGTCCAAACCCAGGGTAGGTTTCAGAGCATAGCCACGGAGTGCTTTGTCGACTACATTCCCCGAGCTAGGTAATCTGAAAGACCCATTTTCATGGCTCCCTACAAATTTTATTCCATTTTACCAGTGAGAATTCAGAGGGGTTCCAAGAGATTAAATAACTCTTCAAGATCATCCAGCAAGTGACCGAGCCAGGATGGTCTCCAGCTGTTTGGCTACTAAGCCTGTGTCTTTCCGCCACTTCTGATGTTTAAATGTGGCAGGAGTGTGATGAAGCTGACGCCCAAAGCTCGGGTTGTATTCAGATGCCTGAAGGTTTCAGTTAAGTAGCAGTGAGAAGATACTGGAGTTTCATCCTCAGTTCTGCTCACTGCTTTCCAAGAGCCACAAAACAAAAACAAAAACAAAAAGCCCAAATAAGCCCCAGAAGAGAGCACATGAGATGGTCAGAATTCGGGAAAGTAAGAAATACGTGGCATTGCTAAAAGAAGCAAAGATATTTAGCCTGTAGGGGAAAAAAAAAAAAAAGTTATGGGACTCTCAGAGTTATCTTCAAACAGTTAAGTAAGCTTCTTTCCAGAAGCTGGGCATCCTCCACTTAATCTGCGTGTCGGAATAAATATAAGACATCATCTGGGACAGATAGGTGGAAATAAGCTCAAGTGGGGAATTTTCTACGTGGTACTATTCAAACCGTGCTCTGAAGCAGGGTTATCTTCTTAACGTCCCATTTCTCCGTATGCTGCTGGGCATACAGCAGGCACTTACTAAGTGTTTATTTAGGTGTTTGGATTGGGAAGGAAGTAGAGAGGGGAAAGAAAAGGCTGGAATGACGTATCTCTTTTTTTCTTTACACATTGACCTAGGGAATCTGTTGTTCTCCTAGTGCCTCATTCTCCCTTCAGGTCTGAGAAGAATAGGCAGTGTGAGCTCACAAGCTAAGCTGTACGGTCTGTGTTTGAGCAGGAAGGAACTCTAAAGGCAAGTTGTATGGTTCTTTGAAGAACAAAGGGTACTCATTAAGTTTTCTCTTTTTCTATAGGGATTACTGGTGGGAAGTTCTTGAAAAGAACTCGTGTTAAGAAGCCTGGGCAAGAGGTCTTTAAAAGTGAACTATCAGAATATATCAAGGCCGAGGAACTGTATATCGGAGCCAAAGTGAACGTGAATGGCTACCTGTTTCTTTTGCTCAATGCTGACAAGTACACCTTAAACTACATGGAAGCGAACTCAGATAGGGTGAGCTGCCTGTGGCACTCTCCACTTGCCCCTCAGCGCTCTGCAGTCTGTGTTTTTCTTTCTCTAGGCCTTTTCTTCTTCCTACCAGCCTTACATTGTGCATTCACACACGTGGCCATGAATAATGGATCTGCACGACTTGGCCACAGGTCCCGATCTCCTCTGTTTACACGCTGGGCCCTCTGGTGCCCAGCGGCACGGATGCCGGGCACAGGCAGGAGGCAGGCCCAGGGCTGAATCAAGTTTCCTGGCTTTTCTGCTGACGCTGACAATGTTTTCATAAAGAGATTCAGCGACTATAGGAAAGGAAGAAAATCCGGTGCCACACACTGCGCAGTCCCCGTTAATTGGCGTAGGCCTACGCAGACGGCCAAGGACGGAACAAACAGAAGCCCCAAGGGAACCCAGTAGTTGCTGGGGTTGCAGCTTTCCAGAACAGGAGCTACCTGAGGCCTAAATAAGAATTCAAGGACAAATTGGCAACAGTGAGCTGGGAGTTTTTTTCATTTGAAACAAAATGGCAGCTGGGTCCTGTCACTAAAAGTACTAGTATGGCAGTGCCCTTCTGGAAAAATAACAGTTGATGAATTCTTGATTTTGAGTGTGGATTGGTTTGGTGTGCAAACGTGTATATTTGAGGGACATTGCCTAATATTGAAAAATCTACCTAGAAACCATCTATTTCATTTTTTTAAAGATTTTGTTTGTTTACTTGAGAGAGAGAGAGCACGCGGGAGCACACAGAGGGAGAGGGAACACAAAGGCAGAGGGAGAAGCAGACTCCCCGCTGAGCAGAGAGCCCGACTTGGGGCTCCATCCCAGGAATCCGGGATCGTGACTGGAGCTGAAGACAGATGCCTAACTGACGGAGCGACCCAGGTGCCCCTAGAAACAATTTATTTTAGAAGTCTGCCTGTAAGGGGCTACCTTGGTGGCTCAGTCAGTTGAGCGTCTGCCCTTGGCTAGGGTCATGATCCCAGGGTCCTGGGGTGGAGTGCTGGGTCAGGCTTCCTGCTCAGCAGGGAGTCTGCTTCTCCCTCTCCTTCTGCCCCTCCCCCTATTCATGCTCTCTCTCTCAGATAAATTTTTGGAAATCTAAAAAAAGTCTGCCTGTAAATGTTTATGTGTCAATTATGTCTGTATCTTTTTCTATATCTCTATACACAGTACCAATTCTCTTTCATTTATATATAAAACGCTCAGGGGTAAGTTGCTAAGATCAGTCTCTCTGTGTATATCCCATCACCCTTTTCTGTCTGGGGGCTCTGAGCAGCAGGTGCCAAGGCTGTATTCAATGAACAAGGGACATCCCAGGGAATGCATATGAAGGATAAATGAGAAAGGAGCAAGAGCAGGTGGGGAGCCTGAGATGTAGGTCTCAACCCCCGACAAGGGAGAAGGAAAGGAGGAGGTTGGGGCGTGAAAGGCCTCAGGACACAGTGCAGCTCTGAGAAAACGTCGGCCAGGCTGGCGGGGAGCCTGAGAACAAAGTGGCCCAGCTCCTACTGCTGCCTGACATGGGACATCTATAGGTGGTGCCCCTGATGCAGAGTGTGGCCAGAAGGTCCGGCAGGTGGGGGCTATCAGCTCTTCTCTGCGTTCCCTCTGGACCGTAGAGCCCGAAGCACCCTCCGGGGCCGCCACTCCCTTTCTCTATTTGCAGGGTTGGGACCTGGCATTAGCATAAAACTGAACTGGTAGGCCTCCAAAAGCACTGAATTCAGGCAAAGGGGATCAATAATCGGGCAGTTAGATTTCTGGAGACAGCAGGCTCAGCTGGGAAACATGGCTCCACACTTCCTGGCTGAGAGGCCTTCGACATGTATTCTCCAAGCTCCACTTGCCTCATCTTTACACGCTGACTCCTTCAGAGAGTTACCACGCAGAGGAAATGCCATCATGCGTGTGAAATGCTTCACTCTGTGCGGCCCATAGCAAGTGCAGTCAGGGTACAATTTACAATAGCTACTGTGAATGACGACTCAGTTTTCAAACACAGGGTGAACCTATATGTTAACATACATATGTATATATAATGTGCATGTATGTATTTTATATATATATATATAATATGCACATATTATATATAGGTATATATGTGTTCTAGATATATAGTTTTATATACATATTGTTTGTACATATATACATATATTAACATAGCTTGAGTGTGTGGATATATGTATATTTACATATATATCTGTAAGATATAAAGGGCTTTTCTCCTTTCAGAAATGTAAAAGCAGGGTAGGACATTATCTGGTTTCAGCGTCCCAAGTGAAAGCTGCCTTATTTTAAAACTACCCTTGGGCGCCTGTGTGGCTCAGTGGGTTAAGCCGCTGCCTTCGGCTCAGGTCATGATCTCGGGGTCCTGGGATTGAGTCCCGCATCGGGCTCTCTGCTCAGCAGGGAGCCTGCTTCCCTTCCTCTTTCTCTGCCTGCCTCTCTGCCTACTTGTGATCTCTCTCTGTCAAATAAATAAATAAAATCTTTAAAAAAAACAAAAACCAAAAAAAACAAAAAAAAAACTACCCTTAACAAGGACTTTCGAACCAGAGAAAGATTACTATACTCTTTGTTTTTTGTTAGTTTGTTTTTTGTTTTTGCTTTTTTTTTTTTTTTTTTTTTTAAACAGGACCCACGCCCTGCACTGGGCCTGGAGCTTGACATGGGGCTTGATCTCACAACTCTGAGATCATGACCTGAGCCAAAATCAGGAGTTGGCCACTTAACTGACTGAGCCACCCAGGCACCCCAAGATTAATATGTTCCTTAATATCTTTGCAAAAGACCTAATAGATCGAATCATGGAAGTAGATGAAAGGCAGTGCAGAAGGTGGGGAGGAAGGGGGCCTGTGATAGGTCACAAACCCCGTGGTGGAAAAAAGAGACCTTTATACTAAATTAACATCAGTGTTTTGAATCTTCGTATTCAGTCTTCTCTCTCTCTCTCTCTCTCTCTCTCTCTCTTTTTTTTAACACTTAGCTGTAATTATTTAGAAGCTATGCTTTACTGGATTAAGAGGTATTTTTAGAGTCAAAAACCTAATCACAGGGTAGGAGACGACACCTGGGGGCTGCCAGAGACTGAATGTCAGGGGGTTGCCATGCATGTGGATCTCCGACACCCGGCCATGCTCTGCTCAGTGCATTGTCTGACGGCCACTAGTCCCAGGGGGCCCACTCATAAGATCCAGAGAAAATGAGGGTCCAATTTCATCCAATCGTGAATCACTAATCACTCCATTAGGATCTCCCAACCCATTGGGCCAACATCCAAGGGTTCAGGGGAGAAAGCTGAGAGATTGTTTTCTGATTTCTGTGGCTTGCTGTCCCTTAAGCTCATTTCTGTCCGATCTGGGCCTATGCCGATGTCACTCGTCCTAAAACTGCAACTGAAGAGATTTAATTCTAGTTGTGTCTTCTCTGTGGTGGTCTCTGTGGAAAGCCATGCCCAGCTACCTTCAGGTTCAGAGCGTGAAATCTGTTTTCTGGCCATCGGAAAGATTGGGCTCCCTATGGCTCAGGCATGTTTTAATATCCTTCCTTTCCTTCCCCCTGCTTCAGTTTCCCATGAGCAGCATTGAACTTATCCTACAAAAGCTGAAAGAAGAAGAATCAAAATCCAGAGAGCTCAAGCAGGTTCTTACAGCTGCTGACTCTAGGCTCACGAAGATGGTGGATTATAATACATTCAGGTAAGCCAGATGCTGCCAGCAATAATCTGTTTTCCCTTCAAGATTGCCCAAAGAGCAAAAAAACAGTTTCTTCCCTGGTGCTGCCTAACTAATTTACTACACGCTTTTTATTAGGACTTGACACGTCTTTGTGTTCATACTACTTTGTGATCAAGTTTGGCCCATTTCTAGTAAAGTTTGTGCATTTGCATATAAAAGAAGCTTATAGGCAAGAACAGAGAGACAAAAGCACAGAAAGTCAGTTCTGTCCTCTTCTGAATCCTGGTATTGAAGGCTCAAGGGAATGCCGGGAAGAGTGCATGGTGGTGAGACTGGGAGGAAAAAATGCAGCTAAGGGCCCCCCCCTCTGAACTCTGGGGAAAAAAGGAGAGACAGCTTCCTAGGAATGTGATCCAGTTGGAAAAGACAGTGGAAACTTTCCTGATTATCAGCGGAGAGGTGATTGGTATGCATCTGTGTGTAGGTGAGTTCATAACACATCGGTGTGTTTTGAAAAACATAGACAAATCGAGGAGAAAATAGATGACAGTCGTTAGGACTATATTAAAAAATCATGAGCAATGAAGGTTTTCTCTAAGGTAGAGCTGAATTCTGGGATTGTCCAGTGGCTGACCTGGGCAGATTGCCAAACAGTGGAAACACAGGGAAATTCAAATTCAGGATCTAGTACAATTGTGAGACTTCTTAGCCTGAAAACAAAGTGAATAGCGCGTTCAGGAGGATGAAAATTAAATCATGGATGGGAGAACAAAGGGGACTTTCTCTTTACTGAGAATTCGGACTCCTGAAAACAGTAGTGGCCAAAAGCTATATAAGAAACTTGGGGCAGTCGAGATACGGGCTGACCAGTGAGGAAGTGAGTCCAGGAGGGGGTGGAGGGTGTACAGGAGGGGATATTTTCAGCTTTGTATCTGGAGTTGCCTATTCCATCAATACCTGGTGATCTGAGGCCACCATCAGGTCCAAAGTGTCCCCCAAACTCATTTGTCGTCTTAAAGCTGTTTTGTCTCCAGAATGTTCTTTTGAGAGAAACAGTCAGGACATACTTTTATTGTTTAGAATTGCCAACCTTCTGGGATCCATAAGAATTTATAGCTCTTTGTTTTTGTTCATAGTCATACGCATGTTCATGTTCATGGCCTTTTGGAAAATAAAGGGAGAAGGAGGAAGGAGCAAAGACTTTTGCCCAGGCTGAGGACTAATGGAAAGCCATTAGGTGGAAACAGATTTCCATCAGAAACGAGGGAGTGGTTTTGCTTTTGTTATTTTGTATCCTTTTACAAAAGCATCCATTCTCCCAACACTCTAGCAAAGTCAGTTGGAAACACTTGAGGGAGTTTATGGAACTTTTTGGGAGGCACTTAGGCCCCGGGCAGGAGATCCAAGGAGGAAAAGTTGCGCTGCAGATGGAGGCCCGACCCTAACCGTGGGTGGAAGAAAGGCCCGCCAGGCCATGTGACAGAGGATGGCCTCGAGGCACAGCGTGCTTGGAACCAACCAGCTCCTCTCCCCACACCCCCACCCCCATCTTGAGGCCCTCTCCCGGCCAGGAATTCCTTACGATGGAAACCAGATCAAGTCATGCCCAGCCTGCAGAACCCTTCCGGGGCTTGCCATCGTCCTTACAGTAAAATCCAGACGTTTCAGGGCAGCCGGCTGAGTCCCCAGTGATGTGACTCTGTTTATGTTTCCAGTATTAATCACTTCTTGTTCCCCAGCCTCGTCCTCTGGCCTCGCTGGCTGCCACTCAGTTTCTCGAACAAATGAACAAACATGTCAAGCTCTTTCCTGCCTCCAAGCCTATGCACACGCCCTTCCCTCTGCTTAGAATGCCCACACCCCAGGCCTTTCCAGGGCAAATTCTAAGGCTCATCCTCAGTGGCACTCTGCCCAAAGGGCTTTCTTTCTGTTTCTCCTGCCATAAGTAGATGGCTCCCTGTTAGCCTTAGCCTTTTGCTGCCCCCTTTCACAGCACTTCGTACAACTTGCAGGTACTTGATTTAGATAGTGGTCGTCTGGTGTGTGTGCGCCTGTGTGTCTTCTCCTTCCCGAGGGCCAGGGACCTTGGTGGTCCTGTTCATGGCTCGATTCCTGGCACTTAGCTCTGGGCTCCGTGAAGGTCTTAGTTCCCCAGCGGAATGGCCAACTGCTGGGATTATTCTTGGGGGTTCCAGTTTGGAGGCAGTGACATTGTCTTCATAGGACAGGCCAATCCTCCCAGCCTCTCCGTGTTTTCATGGGAGTTTAGTCATGGCCTGACCCTTGCCCACCCCCTCTCCTTATCTCCATCTTACTAGAGGAAGGCTCTAATAGAAGTCCCCACTGATGGAGCCCTGACTCTGGATGAGACAAGGTGTTCAGTGCAGTTCATCTGCTATCCACGGGTAGCCCCTGCTAATTTGATTACTCGCCAGGACCCACAGTTGGCTCCGGTCAAGTACCCTAGATCTTTGTCGATTCATTTCATGAGCGGCCCTGTTTCTCAGGGCTGTTCAGTCGCCAGGTCCACAGCAAACAAACAAATAATTGATTGCCTTGCCCTGGGGAAGGGTGGTCTCTCTCTGACTGGAGGGGAGTCAGGGAGAGCTAGGCCTGACCTGCATGAGAGAAGGGACTTGGGCAATTCCGCCTGCCTGCACCTCACTTTTGCCCACGTCACGGTCTCTATGGCCCTTTCCAGTCACTGACGTTGTGAAGCCCTTGGATGTCGGTTTATAAATACACTTGTAAAATGTTCCCCTTTGCAAATTGTGCATTGCAGGAGTAGGCAGGCAGAGACAGGACTGAGGCTAGTAGGCCTCTGGGCCTTACCTCTGTGGCCCTGCGTCTCTCCCCTTCTTACATACCCGGCACTGTGAGCGCACACCTGGGGACTCAGAGCCCTGACCTTTTACTTGGGAAGCAATCCAAGCCCCAGGCATTTCCTTACCCTTCTTCTCAGAGATTTGTGCCTCCCTCAGGGAAACCAGGAGAGTGGGGGCTAATCAGCTGCTTCCACAGAAGATGCCATGCCTGATAACAGATGAATGGATTCATGCATGGGCCTTCTTGAGATAATCGCCTCATAAATGGCCTGAAGGAATGAGGGGACAGGTGGAAATAGGAGGCAGGTTGGGCAGGAAATGTTTCTCTTCTGCCTTGTGGGGGTCGCTAGTTCTGTATTTTCACGGTCTGTCAGGTCACCTGATGGGAGTCACTGGTTGTGACCCAGGAGAGCGCAGAGAGCCTTCCTCAGAGTCTCAGGGGGCTCCCGGGCAGACCTCAGCAGGGAGCTGGGTAGGGACTAGGCTTGGCAGGGCCAGTGTTTTGTGCAATCAGGAACGTGGCAAGATGCGGCTTCCCCCTGTGGGCCCTGGATTCTGAACCATAGGCTACAGCATCAGCGAGGGCCCGGCCCCATGCCAGGGAAGATATGATTAGTTCCTCTCTCTGGCCACCTCCCCAAGCCTTGAGCTACCCCTTAGAGATGACACCTACCCCAGGAATCCTGTGCATATTTTGGTTTTCTGCGTGCTCACCTTTTCTCCCCTCCAGGATTGAGCTCCCAGAGGGTAAGTCCCATGCTCTGTTTACCCTTCCTGTGTCTTTCCCAGCTACCTCTTGGACTTATAAACATCCGTGTAATAAATGCCTTAGAAGATTTAGAGTCTTGAGAAAGTTTTTTTCTTTTATAAAATTCAAATTCTTCCTAAGAGAGGTAGTACAATAGAAATAAGATCTGATTTTGGACTTGCTGACCTGAATCCAAATCTCAGTTCTAACATTGGTCCACTTAGCAGCAGTAAGTTGCTCAACAGTGTTTTCACCTGTAAAATGGGGATAATAATACCCACTGTATTAGAAAAGTTGTGATGCATAAATATGATAATATATAGAAAGTTCTTATTATAGCACACTGTGGACACTAGAAAATGAAAACCCTTTATCCCGATAGTTGCCACTTCATGTCACCAAAAATAGTAATAGAAATCTATGGCTTATTTTCTGTATTTCAGTGAAGTTACAGATTTATCTATGATGAGGTCATTGAAAACATTCTTTAGGGGCACCTGGGTGGCACAGTCAGTTAAGCATCTGACTGGTTTCAGCTCAGGTCCTGATCTCAGGTTCGTGAGATCGAGCCTCACGTCAGGCTCTGCACTTAGCATGGAGTCTGCTCAAGATTGTCTCTCCCTCTGTCCCTCCCACTCATGCACTCTATTTCTCTCTCAAATAAATAAATAAATTTTTTTAAAAAAATTCTTTAATTGGGGCGCCTGGGTGGCTCAGTGGGTTAAAGCCTCTGCCTTCGGCCCAGGTTGTGTTCCCAGGGTCCTGGGTTCGAGCCCCGCATCGGGCTGTCTGCTCGGCATGGAGCCTGTTTCCTCCTCTCTCTCTCTGCCTGACTCTCCATCTACTTGTGATATCTCTCTCTGTCAAATGAATAAATTAAAAAAAATCTTAAAAAAAAAATTTAAAAAAAATTCTTTAATAAATGAGGTTGGAAGAAACTCTTAAAAGCCTTGGAGGCCATGAAGGTGGAAAATAAACATCTTCCTTGGTGGACTGAGTTTGGGAAACATTGTTATAATCCACCCCATTACTGTCCTTTACTTCAAGGAAGAAGAATATAAATTTAGTGCTTAGAACATTGTAATGATCTCATTCTGGTTTATCTCAGACAATTATCTCTCCCTTTATGTGGTTTTGCTCTATCTTTATTCAAACAGCTCTGTGTTGTTATGGGTGTTTTTATTGTAAGTCTAACATCTTTTAAGTCAATGAGTCTGTATGAACAAAAGCAAAAACTAAGATATAATCCAAAAGCACTGAAACATCTATTCTCATCATGAACTAAATAGACACTCTGACTGTTCATAGCATCTCTTTGAGATGGCAGCCTTGGCATACATTTTTTGAAAACAGCGTTTTGAACCTTCGTAAAAGCATTAAATATAAATAAGGTGATGTCATAGAAAAAACACTGGCCCGGGAATCAAAAAGACCAGGATCTTTGATTT